AAAGTATGGGTTGGACAACTCCTCCTGTCTTTCTACTTCTAGCCGAGAATCAGACGTGATTGGCCATGCGAATCCAACATCTCTATCCACAACTGATCGTCGATAACTGTCCGGAATGGTGTCTTGGCTCAGTGCATGTTGCTTACCCTCCAACACGAGTTTCTGACCTGTCTGGGCATGAGGGGAGTAAGCCGCCCAGCAATACCAAGACAAACCAGCTTACGACCTTTAACCCCAGCAACGAAGATAAATATGGCAATATAGCCGGTTCACTTGCTTTGCACAAAGAGAATGAGATTGCGCGATTATTGAACTCTTATTTCACATACCTCGACCAATGTGAGCAGAATTTTGTCTTATTCAAGCTCTTCAAATATTTACACGGAATCCAATCTGAGGATTGTTATGCCTCCCCGCCAACTTGCTTCATCCCTGCGCTCGTCCATTCAAGCACATGAACCCTGAAAACTCCGCCATTTATCACGAGACAGCAAGCATCCAATCAACAGCTTCGTCTTATCCTCTATCCATTGAGCGCCCTACTGGAACGATTCCAAACTGCCGTCCCACGCAATGGCCCCCGTCCCCCCGAGATTGCCCAAATCATCACAACCAAGAAGCTGCAGTACTGTCGTTTTGCAGACACGCATCAGTGGGACAAGTTTTCTCAGGTCGCTTTGCCTGAGTGTACCTACCGTTATACCGACCATGGTGTGCTTATTGTAGACCACGGCTTTACATACCAGTGGAACTCGACCGCTGAGTTCACTGGCTTCTTCTCCATGGCATTCCAGACCCTGCAGACCATGCACCTTATTGGGCCTGGGGAGTTTACGTACATAAGCCCCGATGAGGTGGAGGGTATCTTTCCCGTCGTCTACCATTCAGCCCTGGCAAAGGGGGCCGACTCGACACAGGGTGTCACCGGAAGTGGCGGGGGCCACTACCACGAGATCTACAAGCGAAAGGGCGACGACTGGTTCATGGCCACATGTACCATGGACCGCATTTACGACGTTCCCGCCTAATGGCAATTCTATTTTGGTTCACAAACGCATACAGTCCCCGGCGTAGTGAGTCGTCAGTGGCTAGGGCATGTAGAAGCGGCTCAATATTTTCGTACAGCTTCAAGTCTAAACAGAAAAAGAGCAGTGGAAGAGGCAACTATTTTGAATACAGGCTACATACAGCGCCCACACTCCTAGTAGCCATGAACCATCCTCCTCTGAAACTGAATGATGGCCAGACGTTGAATGATGTTTCCTCTTGTACAACGAAAATTGTCTGTTTACGATTCAGAAATCGGTGTATTGCTTCAACGTGATAGATAAGCCGGAACTAGTAAATAACAGGCCAGCCGTTCTCGTAACGAACGAGGTTGATGCCCAGCTGAGCAGTTCCAGCGTCGTTGTAATAGTGATACACCAGAACGTCAGCGTCACTGTCGGCAAAGATGGAGTTGTGCCCCGGTCCGTGGACGGAGCCGTGACTTGCGAGCATCTGCGTTCCTCCGCCATCCATCATCGACCTGCCGCTGCGATCGACATAGGGCCCAGTCACACTAGTAGATCTTCCCACCATAAGACGGTACGTGCTTGCGGCACCCTGGCAGCACCTGTCAAAAGACACCCAGAGGTAGTAGTAGTTGCCACGGCGAACAATGTAAGGCGCTTCGAGAGCGCCGCCGTTGTTGGGGCGGGCAGCAATTGAGATGATGTTGGAGTCGGCACGCTTGCCGGTGCTAGGGTTGATAGCAATCATCTTGATGCCGGACCAGAAGGAGCCGAAAGACAGCCACCAACGTCCCTGCGCATCGATGATGAGGTTGGGGTCGATGGCATTGAAGTTGCTGGAGGTTGTCGACTCGATCACAAGCCCTTGGTTGGTCCAGGAGCCCGAAGCGCCCGTGCGGCTGGTGGCGAGAAAGATGGCCGAGCGGGATGATCCGAATGTCGATGCAGAGTAGTACAGATAGTACTGTCCGTTTTGGTAGGATAGATCCGGCGCCCAGAGGTTTCTTGCGCCTCCCGTGTAAGTTGTGGTCCACGGGGCACCATTGGGGAAGACGGGGCCGGCATCACGCCAAGCGGTTCGGTCAGTGGACGTCTTGAGCTGTACGTTGTCTCCTGTGTAGGCAGCCAGGTACGTGCCGCTGGGCGTCTTGATGACGGTTGGGTCGTGGATGAATGTGTCGCCCGTAACCCGACCAGGACCAACATACTGCCTAGAGACGATCGAGGCAGCGGCGGCGACGGCAAGCACACTGCCGACGAGAAGTTTGCGAATCGAGATCATCTTGGTTCACGCCTACTTTGGTCGATGATTGACTCTGCCAGGTCCCGAGACGGTGAAGCGGCAGGTCGATCTGTCGATGCTGCACACCAACTCTTTAAATCCCCCCCCCCCCCTTTCCTGTTATTATCTCCTGTCCTCTTAGCACCGGGCCGTATGGTCACGCAGCTCCGCATGTCATGGCGCTTCCACCAATCTCCGGGTAAGAGCACAAGGAACAGTGTGGTTCCTTGGTACACAGCCACAAGCGCGCCTCGGAATAATTACCAGCACCCATCAACTCCACAACGAGCGGAGATTATTACCCCGTCGACTGTCCTGGCTCGAGATCGGCAGCGTGAGGCAGGGGATCAATTCACAGCAGCCACACACAACTCAAATCATGGTTGCGTTGGCTAGCTAGCTAGACAAAGCGTTCGAGAACTCGGTTGAAGGCCATTTCGGGTTGATGATACAAGGAAAATGGCTTTTCATCGAGAATGAAGTCCATTGCTTGGCACACAGCCCCACCTATTTCTCCATCTTTACGAAACAGCCTCAAATATCAAGGACTGCCTGTAAGGCAAAAGGTGGACGATAACAGGTAAGAAAGCATTTCACCTTGATGCGGGCTGTGCATGCTCCTTCACGATTACCTTAGCTCGGCATGATTGGAGAGGTCAAATGGGTGTTGAGGTAGATGTCTGACGGTGTTGTGTGGACAAAATGCATGGCAATGCCCATGATTTAACTACATCCAACGCCCTCTGCGCCGCCTCCCGCCCTCGTATTCGGCATCTCGCACTGCTGTTTCCAAATCAATCTGCAAACGGAGAGCGTTCGACGTTGCATCCTCCCATTTTCTGTGAGCGGCCTTGCGAGAAAGGGGGTAAGGCTCGTCACTGTGATACTCTTCCACCTTGGCTTGTTTGAGCTGATCCACCGCCCGCAGATGGTCTATCTCATCACAGATGCAACCCCAGAGTTCTTCCGGAAGCCGCTGGAACCACGGAATGTCCCGGACATGCGCAAGCCAATAGTCGCGCGACTGGGGAGGCACGTTGGCCGTGCTAAGATTGCTCGGCCGCTGTGGGTCGATGAGCCACATGCTCAGCAGTCCAAGTTGGAGAAATTCGTCGGGAAGCTTGATTCTGTAGTCCGCGGTAGCAGGGAACACTACCAAGCGACCTGGACGCATACGGATGCTCCCTAACAAGTTCAGAGGACAAGGTCTGACAGGGTCGTTGGTGTCATCCAATTCATCGTCGCTCGATTCGTCTTGGGTCGTGTCTTGAAAACCCTCAAACAGGTCGTTGTACGCTTGACAGGCTGTATCGGAGTCCATGGCGGCCTCCATAAACTTCCCAAAGAGGTCGAGGGATGTGTCTTGAATGAGTTCGAGGCGGAAGTCCTCCTCGTCTTCCCCCATACTATAACAGTACAAGCATACCGCAACGACTTTTTCGCCAAAAGGCCCAGGGTGTATCCAGTTTCCTCTGCTGTAATTGACACCGAAGGCTTGTTTCCTGACGGACTCCGGAAATATGGTGTCTGCAGCAAAGGTCTCCATCTGAAAAATAATTTGCAACGAAGTCTTTCCTCTCACCATACCCGTCTTGCCTTGAGGTCTTGCTGGTGCATTTACGGCTGGCTGGGGTCGATCAGAGCCATCGGTGCGCAACTTCTTCACATAGTCCTGAATGAAAGCCTCGTCCAAGGTGATTCTTCTTGAGTCACCAATGCTCCCGACAGCGCGATCCCACAATGGTATAACAAGCTGAAGCAAATCTTCGAGAACTTTGTACATGGGCAAGACTCTGTAATGCAGACCGTTTATATAGCTTGCAATCTTGACTGAGCCGTCGTCTCTGACCTCGACTTGTGAAGGGAGGAGACGATATTGCATGGGATTGGCCTCGGGGCCCAAGTCGACGTATGAATCGAGAAGGCGATTCGTATTGTCGCAAGTACCCTGGCCCACCCACCGCCAACAGCCCTCCAGAGGGATTTCTCCAAACTCAATGCTCCTGGTTTCGTCTCTTGTCGCCGGATACGTCAGAGGGGTGAGGGTATTTTGTACACCCCACCAATCCCGTTCCAGGACATCTTGGTTGGGGAGATAGCACCAGACGTCCCACGGTGGTGATGTAGCCTGATCCTGCTTTTCAGCTAGCATCGACAACTGGCGTCTAACGGCTGCAGGCACAATGGAGTCAGACAGGAGGACCTGAAACTCGGCGTCCAAGACTTGGTGTATCCCATTGGCGGTGGGGTCATTGGCCTTGACTTGGAGCTCTTGAAGTGCCTACACAGTCAGCGACAGCCTCTCCATGCAGACCAGGTGCAAGAACTGACTACCTGGAACAGCTCTGCTCTGCGTGACGAGCTGCGCCGCTCTGCTGGAGAAAGGCCGCAAGTCTCGTAAAGACGCTGGTGCCAATCAGGATCGGTTTCTCGGCGCAAGAGAGCGTCAACGCCATGGGCGATGAACTGCAAGATCTGCTTCTCATCCTGCGTCACACCTTGACTGCGCCAGCGATGGCCAAGGGGATCGATTGGCATCGTAATGAATGATGCGCCGCCGTTGTTGTGGCCCTGGCTGCGCACGTATCTGACATGGTCAAATGAGGATGGGGCTTCCTGCAATCACTTTCTGGGTGGAAAAAAACAAGAAAAAAGAAAAATGCCCCATCAGAGGTAATGGCAAAAAATTGGTACTGCACCATGGTCGATGGACGTGGGACTCGAACCCACAACCTTAGACTTTGATTCCAGTGCGGCTTTAATTTTGCAGTAGGAGGTCTACTTGCTACCATTGCAACAGCCCACCATGTTGTACCATTGCACCATCCCAGGTGTGAGCCTGTGACGTTATTGGATTGCGGCAGATTTATTTTGTTATATATGGGCCTGTTTCTTATCTCCCAATTCATCCCACCTACCCTTGACAAACCGGCGAATGGCACACACTTCGGCCGCTACGCTCTCATGCACTTCCTCCTCACTGCACTTTTTCTTGATGCGCACAGGGCTTTTGTCTTCCAAAGGCAGGGCTCTCTTTGGAGTCAATAGGGCCATCTAACATCTCGTGGAGAACATGGTGGAACTTGGCAAATAACACGGCATCTCGGACAATCTTTTGCTATCAAATCTGCAGCCCTCGATACCTGTCTAGCCGCCTCTCACACACACAGATTAAAAATTAAAAATGACGAGGAAAAAAAAAAGATAATAATAATAAATAATAAATAAAGGAAAAGATCCAAAAAAAAAAAAAGAAAAAAAAAGTGTCCCATAGCGAATCTGGCAGTACTCTGCCTAACTCAAAGCTCCCGACTCTTGAGGTTAACTCCAGACTAAGAACCAAAATTCTCGATTGTAGCAAGGATAAACTGCCTCACACATATCTGTTCTAATTTCATCTATTGATCTGATATTGTCTTTATCGTCAGAGGGGGCCTCCTCGAAGTCGCTGGTCTGCATCCCATTGGGGCACACGAACGGGAAATCCCACATCTGTTCTAATCTAAGCCTCCCTTTGTACCTAACCCTCTCACTACAAGCCACACAAGAACCGCACTGATTACAAGGAGGATTGCAGATATAGTACTGAACCACCCGACGCCTATTGCCGTGATGGCGGGTATGACAACCGCCGACGCCACGGCGCCGAACATGTAGCGGACGAAAAAGTTCCAGGCCAAAGACTCGGCCCCCCTGTCTGGCATCGCATCAAGACAGTAGGTGTTGATGCTCGGATTGCAAAAGAGCTGCGCAACGCCTCCGAGGAACATGGCAATAACGGGGGCCGGGATTCCTCCAGCGTGCTCCTGGACGGTCCATCCGTATACCAATGTCGACGCCGGCATCGCCAAACCCAGGAACGGGAGACACGAACGCAACCGATCCTCGGGTATCCGAGTGCCATGTCGCTTCTCGATCCACTTCTTGGTGGTGTAGTCGGACCATCGGCCGCCAAAGAGCGTGCCGACGAGGTAACCAAGGCCGGGGGCTAGGAAGAAAAGCCCGGACTGAGTCGGGGACGTCAGGCCGAATCGAGGATTGAGGACATAGCGGATCGGCGTCAGCATGCCGTACATGTTCCAGACGTTGGCTCCGTTAGCCACGGCCGCGATGGTCAGGTTGGGATGGACGGCCATCTCGAGGACACGGACAGGGTTGCTCATGCTCCATATTGCCTTCACCTGTTGCCCCTTTGGCAAGCCCTTGAGATTCTGCACCTCAGGCTTTCCCAGGGTTTCGGGGAGAAAAAACAAAACCCCAACCACTCCTAACCCCGCCAAGGCTGCCTGCACTCAACCGGGTGGTACAAGTCGCCGATGACGGCAGGGCCTGTGACCAAAAATGAGGTGCCGGTGAAGGCCATGAATATTCGAAAGGCAAAGAAACTGGCAAAATTGGGCCCCAAGGCCGTCGCAATCGAGGATAGTGTGAACAGTGTCGAAGTTGTGATACTTGTCTATGTATTCTTCAGTCCTGCCTCCAACAGTTGAGGCGAATCACGTACCCAGCGGCGTCCATAGACGCGGTTCAAAGGACCCCAGAATAACGGACTCAGCCCCATGAAGACCAAGTACAGAGCATTGGAGACGCCAACCATGCTTGCCGTGGTATTGTATGTCTCAGTCACCTCCGGGATAGCTGAGAGGACTGCCGTACTTGAGAGAGGCGACAGGAGGCCGCACCATGAGACAAGGAATACGATGAGCCGCCGCTTATTCCGAGGCATCTTGTCGTACCCATCATTTTGCCGCGACACAACTCCTTCAGGCGCCGACTCCTCCGGCTGCAGAGTGTTGCTTCCATTGACAATCATGTTTGGCGGTTTTCCGGCAGAATGCTCAGAGGTCGATTTACTTTTCATCCTCATGGTGTGAATCGTAGACAATGCCGGGTCGATAGCTTTTGAACGCACCGTTGCTCTACTTATTGACCAGTCAACCCTATCCATGAACACAACCTCTCCTACTCCGCATACACCGAAGCCGACATGTCATGCTCCACAGTACCTATTTGGGGCAGCCGTCTCGGCTATGCAGCGGGGACTCATCCTTGCCGCAAACTGGCGTGTCGGCGAAGGTCGGCCCATCGGATCTCTAGACCGACTCAAGCCAGACCCTTGTGTCATGAGCTATTGCTAATCACTTGTTGTAATCGTTCTAACATCATCTTTTAACAATTGTCGACCTACAGTGGCTTTTGGTGGGTGAATATTTTACCCCATGAACGTTGTTAAATAATGCAGTCCGCAGACAATTGGCAAGAAAGTTGACGTCTTCTCACCGCTGCTTTTTCGTATCCTCGATCACGATGCTGTGTGAAGAAGACCTCCAATTGCTGGCCTAGCCGGGCTGGAATGAACCGGTACTATATCTCTTGACATCTACGGAAGCTCCATATCAGATAGATCATTCAGTGCGCGCTCGATAATGTCCACACCCTCCAGCATGATCGCCTCATCGATGACCAAGGCAGGGCAAATGCGCAGCCTCCTTCCAGCTGAATTGAGAAGCAACCCTCTCTCAAGGCAAAGAGCGGCCAGCCGAGCACCCGTGACACGGCCCTCAGGATGAGTCTCGTGGATGTACATGCTCCTGAACAAGCCTTTGCCTGTGATCTTGTCAAAATACGGTGACTTTATGGCTTCAAGACGTGCCGCAAACTTGGCTCCGAGGTCGCGAGATCGGCCAGGTAGGTCTTCGTCGACAATGACGTCCAGCGCAGCAAGCGCAACAGCACTGCCAATGGGGTTGCCCGAGAATGTTGAGCCGTACTGGCCTGCCTCAAGCCCGCTCATGGCGTCTTCCGTCCCAATTATTCCAGACACCGGGTAAAGACCACCGGACAAGGACTTGCCCAGGACCACCATGTCAGGCTTGACACCTGAGGATTGGTACGAAAATAGCGATCCGGCTCGACCAAGACCGCCTTGTATCTCGTCCGCGATAAAGAGAATCCTATACTTGTTACACAAGTCGCGCACGGCGACAAGGTACTCGTCAGACGCGGCAATGCAGCCAGCATGACCCTGCACGGGCTCGACAATGTAGGCGGCGATCCTGTCACCGTGTGTTTTGAATGCCTTCTCCAGGTCCTCGACGACCCCGAACCGGATGACAGCGCCAGTGCAGTACGGGCCAACATTCGGCATCCATGGGCCGCAGTCTGTGCAGGTCGTGTCAGTTGCTGATCGCTACTCTGGTCCAACATGGGAGCTCTTGCCAGAGGGAATGGAAACATACTCTTGCGGTAACCGGCATCATTTGAAGCCGAGAGGAGACTGAGCGATCTTCCGTGGTAGTTGTGCTCTGCAGTCAGAACAAGGCACTGGTCCTGGGCAATGCCCTTGACCTTGTAGGCCCAGGCACGCGCGGCCTTGATGGCCATGTCGACGGCTTCGGCGCCGCCATTCAGGAGCGCCACTTTGTCGAAACCCGAGAGATGGCACAGCTTCTTGCAAAGAAGCGCGTAGTTGGCGTTGTGGACACTTCTCGAAGGCAGGGCCAAGACCTGGCACTGCTCCATCATCGCCTTGACAATCTTGGGATGGCAGTGGCCCTGATTGCATGATGAAAACCCGGCGTTGAAGTCGATGTACCGTTTACCAGTCGTGTCCCAAAGGAACTCGCCCTGGCCGCGCTCCATGACGACCGGATGAGCTGCCATGCCCTTCAAGCTGTAGACATCTTCACATTGGATGTAGTCTACAGCAGTAAGTTGCAGAGAAGAGTCCACAGGCGCCAAGGCTGTCTGCATAGTCTTGGCAGGACCATTGAGTGACAGCGCCGCGGCCCTTGGCTCGACGACTGTAGTTGAGGCCACCTCAAAGGGCATGATGATGGCGCTCTGATGCTAACTCGGAGAGAGGTTATAGGTGAAGCAAGTGGAAAATGGCAATGCCGGCCATCACTTTCTCGGCGTCATGAGCATTGTGTACATCTTTCTATGAAGATACATATACTCCTCACACATATGCCACATTTCATGAGCAACCCGGCCAGGTAGACAAGCGGCGCCTGCTCCTCCATCTCATGACGTGCATATCAGAATTGCGGAGAATGTCTTGAAGCGGTAGTCCGTGTCGCGCTTGGGTCCCCTCTATGCATTGTCGTATTTACAACTACCGACTAGATTCTGCAGTGGGAGATGGAATGAGGCATCTGCCGATGAACAACATTCAAAAGCGACTACTGCAACTTCTTTACGATTTGTGAATAGATAAGGATGCATACAGGGCGGGAGCATGTGGTCCGAGAGAACGATTCGGGGTCTGACCGGGAATCCAGCCTCGCGTGGCCAGCAGGCGGGGGAGAGGAGGGGACGTAGTAGGCGAGCTAAACCCAGCCAGGCAACACGAGTCGGAAGATGTGGAGCGCTTAGGATGATAAGAGAGGTTGCTGGAGTATGGATTGCTGCTCCAAGGGTTGAATGTGAGATAGGAGTGGTCTATGTCTAGATCAAGCAAGACGAGTCGCGCGTAGGCATGCATGATGTTGTCACAGGCAGGCTGATATTCTCCACGGATGGCCCGCATGTTCCGAGCTTCATTGACGATGCATAGACGGGAAATTCCTACGAGGGAATGATCCTAGATGGAGCTGCCGGCTCCCGATATCGCACAAGGGAGCCATGGCAATGACAACAATTGTATTTGAAGGCATTGGGTAGCCAAGATAATCCGAGAGCACGCATATTACTCATTACTCAACTGCCTTCAACATGGGCTCTACAGCCAAGTCAAATATTCTCGTCGTTGGCTTTGGTGGCATTGGCACCATCACCGCCTACAACCTTGAAGCAAGCGGCCTT